AGATATATGTTTTTTTCTTTTTTTTACATACATAAATCTGTCTTACCTCGTGCAAATTACTCTTTTATGGGTTTTATCAAGTAAAATATCTTTCGATGAAGCTTACAGGAGGTACTTGGGAGCTGGGTGAAATACTGTGCGATTCTTGGGTGTCCCTTGACATTCTACTCTGCACGGCCAGTATTCTGTCGTTATGCGCAATATCTATAGACAGGTAAAATCCGACCATACGCATTTTCAAATCTCGTCACGTAGATAACAAGATTACCGGGGAGCATCCTGCCAACCGTTCTACCTTTCGCAAATAGATTTTTCCGTCATTAAAAGCGAAATTTCATGCGACGTAAATTCCCTAACGTCTGGGTTTTACGAGTCTTCGTGCACAAAAAAAAAAAAAAAAGAGGCGAACGGCAGGCACGGAAATGGATCTTCCGGCTTGTAGAAAGTTTGCTCAAGTTATAAAGTATCCTGTTCTGTTGATTTATTATTACGATCAAGCAAGTCCATATCGCTCACTCAAAGCGATTTGTTTTCGCATGTATCCTGCGCATCTTTCTTTTTCATCCGCTGTAATTATGCGCATGAGAGAAATATAAATATTTGAAATAATATTATAATAATGTAGACAATTTTTTTTCTCCTTAATACATTATACAAAAATAGATTTATAACGTAGAAGTGATTATAATTATTTTTAATTAAAAAATTCCGAAAGTGAACGATCTGATCCGGTGTGGAAATTTTCCTTTCCTTTTTTCTACAGCCTGTAATCTAACTTAAACTGTTTCTCATATTGCATTCTGCATACAGAAGTTTTAAACTTGATTACAGACTATGCACATACTTGTATAGAAAGTTAAAGTTCTCCGAGCGCGGTTAATGACATTCTCGAAATACAATTTTAACATCCCACATGTGTACTTCTCGCATGAATGCGAGTTTTCAAATGTCAAGACTGCTTTAAAAATTATGTAATAACGCGAAAATCTGTTCGACGACATTCACCGTGTAGTCTCTGTTCCCTTCTTTTATCAATCCTACACTTCAACACTTCCGATCATTAGCATTTGTAAAATTAGATGAAATTCTTCCCGCTACGATCGATATTTTTTTGTTCAAGATATCTGGCCGTAACTCAGCCGCTGATATACAGCCGTCGACGCAGGAGCAAAAGACTAGCCGGGCTTATGATCGTAGCGGTGTGGGTGATGGCCGGTGCCATAACGAGCCCGCCTTTATTAGGTTGTTTCCCACGTGCAACAAATCGCGATATCAAAAAGTGCTCCTACAATATGGATTCGTCGTACGTGATATTCTCATCCATGGGCAGTTTTTTCCTGCCCATGCTGGTAATGCTGTACGTCTACGGCAGAATTTCGTGCGTCATAGCAAGCAGACACAGAAATCTGGAGACCAACGAGGAAAACGTGCGACCACGTCGTAAAATTACGGTGAGCATTTGATTTGATTCAGTCTACTCAAAAGACGCGATCGAGGATTATCGTTAGTTACATTTTTGTGCGATCAGTGTTATTTCTTGTTTACGTAACGAATTTTATTATAAATGTATTTATTTTATTATTTATTCTATTACAGATATTTGTTTTATTATTCGTTTCGATAAAATGTAATAGAATCCAAATGAGTGAAATAATGTTTTATATTAATAACTTTTTTATATATTATATTTAATATTTATTTCTTGACACATCAACTGTGTAGAAATTAATATTAATTTTAATATCTAAAATTAAAATTAATTTCTACATAGTATTATAATATTAAATTATATAAAAACTACATATTAATATTAAGAGTTATGTTCTTTTTATATTATATAATTTTATAAATATCTTATAGATATTCAAATTGATAATTGAATTTCTGTCATATAAAAACAATATCAACAAAATCAGATTAAGCTCTCACACGCTTACATTAATCTTCCTAGCATTATGCTTTGTTTATTTTCCGATACGAGATGTGTGAGATAAACTAATTCTGATGGCAAGATAATAATGATTCGTTACTAAAATTCTACTTCATCAATATTCGAGCATTACAGCTAATATCATTGGTACTCAATGATAACGGATTACTATAATATTATTATTTATAATAAATTAATAAATACAAGAAGAGATCTTTTGAACAAATTGAATTTTTATCACGATATAACGCAAAAATTTATATGTGTATCCGATTTATATCTCGAAAATTAAGAAAGATTCGAAGAGAAATTAAGAACTGAAAAAAAAACTATTTTTTTTAACTTTCTTAATTATCCGAAATATTTTTATGAGCGAAACGTTTTCTTGCGGTCTTCATTTTATAGATAAAACACAGGTAATCTTTCGTATTTCTGTAATTCATTTTTAAAACGACATTGTAATGAACAGTGAGCTAAAAAAAAATTTTAGTATGATAGATGAGCAAGAAGATTAAAATGCTTGCGATGACAAACGTGGCAGAAATTAAATACGAATACAGTTTACTTGGAATTTAAAGCACGCATTTCGAACGGAAAGGAAATACCGCAAAAATCAAGGATTATATTAATGCGAAGCATATTGTGGCTCGTACAATGATAGCATCGACAGCAAGATAACAAAACCGTTCTCGCAATTTCATTGAAAAGGAGATTAGAGAAACCGTCGGTTCTCTTATGACGGACGCAGAACGCCACAGGGGCTTTAAATACCATGATGGGAGAAGCGGATATCTCATTAATCCATATTATTCAGTCTTACACAATCGATATGTTATCTGTCATTTAGCACAACACATATTACAGACTTATTTGTCGAATTTGATATAGTTATGTAGACTGGCGCGAAATTTAATTACAAATAGACATATGCGTGAATTGTTTTAACAGGAAATGGAAACAGATTGTGTTCATAGAATCTTCTCGTCATTGATGTTGAAACTGTTGACTCAGAAATGATTGCGTCGGGATTTCTAGATTTCAGCACTCATTGTAATAACAATCTGCTTCATGCATTATTTATTCATTCAAGTAGATGATCTCTTGAATGTCTACAGAGTGACATTGATTTATATTGCCAAACTCTAAATGGAAGTAAATTTAAAAAGTAATTCTTCAAGTAGCAAACAAGCGAAAACAGCAATTTATTACAACAACAGAGAATAAAATAGAACGTCTTTAAAAAATTTAAGAAGAATATTTACGACAATGAGTGATGAACATTTATGAGAAAAAAATTTTTTACGCTGAGAACATTAATAATTCTGAAAATAATGTTACGAAAATAGTGATCGTGGCTTTAATGTATACTACAATTGTTAGCGAATACAACTGGGCTTGACAGCTTAATAGAATCCTTTACTTACAATGAAAGTGATTGAAATCTTTGGTACGAATAATTATGAAATATTGACTTGGATAATGATATGCAATTTATGCAAATGTAATATGGAACAAAGCATGCGTATCATTTCACATTGAAACAGACATATGCCTTTGTTTAAACGTCGATAAATTTTTAAACGTGACTTCACTGCTTTATTTAACCATTGAAGATTTATATCGACAGTCGTATCAATATTAATACCAAAATGTTTGTATTTTATTATATTTATTTCTATTCACGAATGAATAGAAATTCGGAAATATTAAAAAGACAAAAGCAATTAGAAACATTTTTGTTTCGTTATGTATCAGAAAATCGATGATGAATTAATATTAGTAGCGCAAAATACGCGATTGCGAAATATTGCGAATTTTTCAACTATTTTTGTTTGCAGAGTGATCGTGGCAAAAGTATCAAAGCGCAACGCGCGAATTGTGCGGAGGGCAGTGTGGCGTGCGACAAGCTATCCGAGGAAACCGAACCGACAAACATGTGCAAAAAGTTGGGCACAATTCGAGGTAATCAGCAAAGCTGCATCAACAGGGTCGCTAGGGAAACGAAAACTGCGGGTACCCTGGCAGTGGTTGTCGGTGGTTTCGTTGCATGCTGGCTGCCATTTTTCATTCTGTATCTGGCAACACCCTTCGTGCCCGTGGAGCCACCGCATGTCCTCATGCCAGCTTTGACCTGGCTAGGTATCTTTTTTTTTTTACATATGGAATTTTATGAAAGTTGTGCTTTTTATTATCTACGGCTTTCTCGAAATCTTAAATTTATAATCGGCCTTTAAAGGCTCCTTCTGATGAATGTATCTATTTTAATAAATATATCTAATTCTAATGAACAATATTCATTTGAAATAAAATTACTAAATAGATAATATAGATGCATAACATAGGAGCAATGAATTTATATATCTATTATTATTGCAATATTAATGTGGAGTATGCTAATAAAAAAAACATTTTATACATTTAGGATGGATTAATTCGGCCATCAACCCGTTTATTTACGCCTTCTATTCGGCAGACTTTAGACTAGCTTTCTGGCGACTAACATGTCGGAAATGTTCAAAGAGCAGACTAAACTTGGATGGCACGAATCGGAAATTACCCGCCCCGGTTAACTGGAAGAAAGATACGTCGAGGACATGAAGATTCCGGCACACGAGTTTCGAACTTGTTCAATTACGTGGCAACGAGGATTAGAAGTGAATGAGTGTGTGATTGACTTGTATTTACTCGTAACCGCAGTACATTAATGAAGTGGCGTCACTGGACTAGAAATTTATCCCTTGGTGTTGTTCAGATTGACTTCAGTTTCTTAGTCAGGTTTGTAAAAAGTGATTTTATCGAATTTTAATCAATCACGCATCGTAATAATCAGGATCTTATCAGAAATTTCTTTTTAGGTTCTTATTAGATTATATTGCTGAATTCATATTAGGTTCTGGCTCAGAATTATATAAAATGTTCAAAAAAGGATTTATATTTATTTTTTGTAAGAACATGCTTTAAATTTTTTTAAAAATCTAATCAGGATCAAGAGATAAATTTTTAGTCGAAATAGTTTATGTATGTAAGAATATATAAGAATTATATGCGCGAGAACCACGTTTTAATTGTAAGAATAGGCTTATCTAATCAATAGTTCGTATGCAATTTTATAAAATATCAATTACGCACAATACATTAGCATACATGTAGCTATTCTCGAGAATCCTATAAATAGTCTTATAAATAGTATTTTCCATGTGTGTAATATGCAATATATAATTGAGTACCTATCATTTTAAATGTTAATGTTTAAATATTTTTGATTATATTTAACTAAATTTAATTATTTAATAAATTCTCTAAATTTTATTATTCAGTTTTTTTTAGGGAAACTTGTTAAGTACATCGAATGCTTTTTACTGATGTTTCGATATTATAAAAAAATATGATATTATTTTATTATAATTATTTATTTATATTTATTTATAGATAGCATATATAAAATGATAACGGAACGTTATTAAATATAGATATTAAATAATGGAAATTTATAAATATATGTGAACGTAGAATGAAGAACTATAAATTATATTATTATTCAATATCTTTAGAGATGTAGAATAGGTCAAAAAAATATATAATATATATATTAATTAAATTATAAACTAATACAATTAGGCATTATTAATAAAATTAGTCATTTAAAATAATAGCTATTGTTATCTAAATTTCGTATATTATTAAAAGTTATCAATCGTTAAAGACTGTATAGAGATATTCTACATAATAGACTTTACTAGAAGATAAGAAACTGTGATGTCTATTTTTATTTCGTTGTTATCGTATATAATTATTTAAAAATTTTAATATAATTTAATTTTATAGTTTACAACAATATAATTTTCAAGTTGTTATTACTGCTAAATACTTTATTTATTCTAGTCAATAAAAGATCTCACATTGTATAAAATATAATATTTAAATTTATAAAATATGAATATATTAATTATGAATGTACATGAGCTACAATCAACATATTTATTATTTATGAAAAAATAAATATATGTACGTTCTATAATATATATACTAATGATAAAGTGCATTAATTTATATTATTATAAATGATATATAAACAATATGTAAAATTGTTTATTACTTCACTACATGTATCAGTATTAACTTTATTAAAATAAAAACGTTTGCTATTTGTTACAAGCTACATTACAGCCATTTAAAATAGCAAATTATTAGCTCCAATTCAATAAATATAAAATGTGGAATATATTTTTGTTTTTTTATAAAACAGACTTATAAAAATACGTGATGCAAACTCCGATATGTTATACATGTGTTATCGATGTGTTATACATATAATGCGTTATGTGTTATTATTATTGAATATAATTGAGTCATTTACTCGTAATTCTCTATTTGTCATTCATAATTCTCTATTTAAATCAGATTTTGATTTCTTTCAATATCTTAACATTTCGTAAATAAGCGAATTAACGCTTTACGAAAATTATGTCCGCTTAGGTAATAAAAAACGAAGTTTATTCCATAATTCGTCATCCATAACAAATCGCTCAGATTCCACGCTACGTCGAGCCATATTGGTCTATTCGTAATCTGTGAATATTAATGTTGTAAATTATTACAAAAGATATATCAATAAATTGTACAATTAAGCACTGCGTGATATAAATAATAATATGATTCTTATATCAACCGAGTTAATAAAGTATTAATAATAGTGTGTGCATTCTTTATTTACACTGACATCTAATTTCAAAAAAATATGGAGTAATGCAATGCACAATAAATATAGTAATTAAAAATTTTAGAAAAATATTAAAATTTTAGAGAACATTTAATTATAATAATACTATTTTATTACGATAAAACGTATTTTAGACAAAAGAAATTCTGTATTTTATGATCTATATTATTTAAGCATTCAGTATTGATACGTACGTGATAATCGGTAATAAACCAGCAGATATACACAGGTGTGTTTAAGCATATGAACGTACTCGAGATGAGAATGAGCATTTTTGTAATTCTAATTTGCGTTTCATTGCTAGCAATTTGAATTTGTTCACTGGAAGTAACGGATGCTATAGACAAATCCTTTTGGACATGATTTTGTTTGTAGATGTTGCACACTATCAGTGTGTTAAATATTACTATCATGATTAAGGGCAGAGCAAACATGATACTCATATCCATAATTCTTAACATCGAATCACTTCTCATGTTATTTTTATCTTCAGAATAGGAGTCGCTTGTCGTATTATCATCTTTGTATGTCATCTTTGTATCATCTTTGTAGAGCGTATGAATATCAATAGAAAAGAAGAACTCAAACCACGGGATCGTAAAAAGAGCCGCTATTCCCGTCAACACAATCACCACAATTTTTGCTCGGGCAATCGTGCAGAAAGATCGATGAAGGAGCGGCCACTTGATCGCCACATATCGCTCAACAGTAAAAGTCACCACAAGCCATACACTTAGAAAGGCAAAAAAGTTTTCGATGCAGATTCGGAAGACTGTCGCCCAATTCTCCTGTTTCGTCACGTGCGTTATTAGCCAGGAGATAATAATTGTTACTAGGACCCCGGTGTCGCTTATTGCTAACGCACTCAGATAGATGCTGGACGAAAAATAACGTAGCTTCGAGCGGAAAATTACGTATACGGACAGAGAATTTCCCAGCAGACTCAAGCACATGAAAACCGGTATGTAATACTGCTCGATCTCTAGAATAGTCTCCTGTATGCAATACCATGTAGCTGTAGCAGTTCTATTCTCGACGTTCATTTTCGTGTATCAATTTTGAGTCACTTGTAATCGTTCTCAGTAGAAAAAGAAGCAAAAAGCAAAGCACTTCACTCGAGCAATATGGCATGTAGAACAACACGTTTCACTGTGTTTTTACTTTGAATAAACAAAAGCGAGATGTTAAGATATTAATAGCTTTGTAATAAGAATCATTCTATTGAAGTTATAATCAGAGTCTGGATCTCGATGCGGTTTTTCCCACTCTGACCGCCGCGTGCCGCGAAAGCAAACAGGGCCGACTACGCCGGTAGCGGTGTAGCAGACTAGCGTAGCAAATAGGGCACCATCACGTGGAGCAAAAAAGAATTAATATTTATTAGATTTGTTACAATGTGTAACAAAATACTGCGATAAATTGGTGAATTTAAAATTTTGACGTCTGTCTGTTAAAATAGCTTGTACAGAAAAATTTCGAGCAACCTCACATTCCAGATAAGATAAGAAATAAAATAGTCACAATATTAATAAAAAATACTGACTTGTGCAAACATTAATATCAATTTTTGAATATAGACAGCCAAATATTAATGCGCCTGTTCGATCGGAACAATTAGAGCTTTTCACCCATTGTTTCGTCTAAGGTAGAATGTACGTTTTTACGTTACAAAGCTATTTTAAGAGACAGACGCCAAAATTTTGAATTCACCAATTTATCGCAGTATTTTGTTACATATTGTAACAAATCTAATAAATATTAATTTTCTTTGCTCCACGTGATGGTGCCCTATTTGCTGCGCTAGTCTGCTACACCGCTACCGGCGTAGTTGGCCCTGCTTCTCGCGGCGCGCGGCAGTCGGAGTGGAAAAACCGGCATCGAGATCCGGTCTCTGTTTATAACACTTGGATAATAACGGTTGCACTTGTGGATTATATTTGACGTCTCAATTCTTTTTCTATTCTTTGCTCATTCAGGATTTCCTGATAAAGTATATTATCAATGTATATAAGATTGTGGTTTCCGTATTAAAGCTATCTATAAATTACTGTCTTTTCACAACGCATGTCAATCCATAACATCCTGGAAAAGTTGTTTGCACGATTATATGAGAATATAAAATAAAATATTATATAAAAATAGTATATAAAATATCGTATAAAAATTAATATATAACAGTTATGTTATTACAAATTATTACAATAAATATAAAAATACTTAACATTTTTTTATATTATATAAAAAGTATAATGTCTTTGAATGTTCTAGAACACTCAAAAAAATGATCTTGCAATAATAGCTAAAATTTTCTAGGGGTAAAAAATTAACTAAAACAGATAAATGATTAGCAACTGTTGTGATATTGCATATGTAAGTACTTAATCAGTTTAGATGACAGAAACAGAATATGTATCTGTATTGTTTATGAACTTTAAAAAGAAAGTTTCTCTAAAGCGCCTATCTATATAAGAACAATCACGTGTTAGATCATGCAATGAATAATATTTAGCAATGGTACCTAAATTTTTTAGAAACTATTGCTAGAACATTACTGCTATAAATTCTATATGTGACAAACAATGCTTTCACAGATACGAAAAATAGCGATACATTCTTGTTGCGATATCTAGAAATCTAACTACATCAGCGAAATATTTTTTTGAGTGAAGCACAATGTATTTTGGTTACTACATTAGTTTAATATTGATTATATTGAGATTGCGTCAATCAACATTTTTTTATTATAAAACTAAGGAAATGTCAATATATTACACTCATGAAGACATCAAGTTGTTTAAAAAATAAAATACTATTTGCTGTTATCATTATCATAAAAAAATTATAAATTTGCTATATTCTTAAGTAACACATAAACATGATGGTTAAAGCTTTTGCTTTATATAATATTCTTATATATATTATATTAAAAGAAAGTACAGTTGTTTTGTCTGATTTTATTTCTGATCTAAGAAAATATTGTTTACATATTTCTAAATATTTTTAATATATTCACAAATGTATAAAAATATTTTTATTTACTTCCTTTTTCCCCCTTCTTTTACTTTATTTATTTTCTTTAACAATAATATTACAAAATATATACAAATTTCTATTTTTTTGAAAATGCAGTTATAATCGAAATAGGTACAAAGTCGCTATTTTTCCCAATTTTTATTTAATTTATTTGTAAAATTGGACAGAATTACAAAAGTCAATATCTTTACATTTGCTGATCTTTTGTAAAATAGGTAAAAATAAAATATAAAAATATATATCTATATTATTTAATTTTCAGGTTTCGTTTCACTTTCTTCTTCTGCAGGTTGATGTTCTTCGTGTCCTTCTGCAATGTGTGCAGCTTTTGCAACACAAATGTATATGGCAAAGCTTTTCTCACATTCATCCGTAATATCTTTTACTAGAATATAAAAAATATATAGTTTAAAAATATTAAGAAACATATAATGCATTTGCCGTGCATGTTATATAAATAAATCTAGCAAAATATAATTTTATTGCAATTAGTTTATTATTTTAATATGCACTATGAAAATCAATGTAAAAGAACATATATAATTAATTTTTATAAATCCCATATTTTTAATAAATTATAATATATTTTTAATTTACAGTAAATATAATGATAGTTTACCTTCTTTTACACATTTATGTACAACTTTATGCAGTTGGCGTACTGAGGGTTGATTAGAATCTGCAACCGCATTATCTATCAAGTCATGCATTCTTATTTCATTAATGTTTGATCCATTTATCTAGAACCACAAAAAATATTAACAAAAGGAATAATTAAATGTTAATTTATTATAAAAGTTTTTTTCCCGAGTTAAACTGTATATCATTTGTTATACGTTTATCATAAAAAAAAAAAATTAGTAACGTATAACTATCGATCTAATAACTATTTGTGATACATCACTGACTACAATTTTTGTATCATAAAATTATTAAGTTTTTAATATAATTTAAGATTATATTATTAATCTGCGTAATGTTTAATAAAATATATGAAACATATTATAAAAGAAAGTTACCACATTTTGTCTTTTTAGCACACATGCAATAGTACAGCCACATCTCCGTGTTCTTTGTTCATTTCCAGACTGTACATGTAAGTTAGTCATTATCTGTTCTTCATCATACCAATCATCTAGAAAATAAATTGCGGCAAGGAATATTGCGTTTTGTAATATATCTTTTGTAATAGTTTAATCTACATTCTTTAATTTACATAAATCAAACAAATATAGGCAATTAAAAAGTCACGCAGAAGAGAAAAACTTTAATCAAGTCTGATAAAGTATAATTAATTCAAAATGTATTAAAAAAGTTTGGTTTCAAATGTTTAAATGGTTTAAAATGTGTTAACAGAGTAACAAAAAATTCACAGCACAATATATAATATAGTTGTGTATTATAACTTACTCTGAACCAAACTGTTTTCACTTATGCAAGCAACAACATCCTCTTGAAGAGATTTTATCGCAGCTTTAAGTTGTTTCTTTACGTCTTTTACGTCAGCTAAGCTAACTGACTAACATACACAATATTATTTATTATATTATTGTAATCAATTTATTTTTTTCTAAATTTAATATATATTATACGTACTGTTTTTGTTAAAATTATATTGATAATTTTGCAAATATATATTTTTATTATATTGGACAATATTTCCCGAATTAAACAATCGGACCAATCACTTATTATATTAAATTTATTAATAATTTTAATAATTTTTTACAATATCAATGCATTGAAATGGAAAAATACTCACAGCAAGTACTAAAACACAAGCGCAAAGCAGGAGAGTCTTCATTTTACTAAGATTGTTGCTTTATTGCAGTTAAACGTACACTTTACGGAGTAATCGCACAACTATCGGAATGCGTTGTATTTATACTTGTATTTATACTTACAGCAAATATAAAAATATTAAATTTCTACTTACTGCAAATATAAAATGTGTGTATGGGTTAAAGTTCAAAAGATAAGCAGAGCATAGGTCATCTAAGCATTAGTTACGAAACACAAATAAAACGATAATTTTCCGATATTACAAAGATCTAATGTTGAAATGGAAAATAATACACATTGTCAATAAATTTAAAGAATTTTTTTTTCTTTAGTAAAATGTTTATTAGATACACAAAATATTTATTCGTAAAATAATCAGATATCTGTACGTGTAAAAAGAGTAAATAAATCATTAAACAGTGGATTCTCGATTGCGCTAATTTTGCACGATTTATCTCGTTTTTTTTTTTTTTTAGGTTCTCACGTGTCTCTTTGCCGCTTCAAAATTAATGATATTAATGAATACTGCGCTTCTCCGCGTTTAATCGCTTGTTTAATTGATCAATGATATCGACGAACATCTGCCGATAAAGCGTAAGATGCCGCCGCATTAACTACTTGCACGTACAAATGTCGAATTATTGTGCGAACCAATATTTTGTATATCTAATAAACGTTTCACTAAAGAATAAGAAACTCTTTGCATTCATTGATTACGCGCAACTTTCATTAAAACAATTATATTAAATTTTAATTATATTAGAGAAAGAGAGAGCACGGATGGTTTGCATAATTTTATTCCACATTTAAGAAAATGTTATTTACGAGTTTTTAAATGTTTTTAATAAAATTATTTAATTATTCCGTTATACATATAATTGAGAAATTTAATATTTCAAAAATATCCACTTATGTTAAAACAATTTTCATACATTGAGAAAAATGTTCTGGTTGATTCAACAAACCGTCTGTTCGATTTTCGACGATACAGACAGATTCAATCAGAATCTGGTTTGGCTAGCTCGTAATCAAATAGATTGTTGAATCTACCAGAATCTTGTTGTTTTTCTTTCCCTTATTTTCTCTCTCTCTCTTTCTTTCTTGTCTTTTTTTTTTTCTTTGACGACAATATTACAAAATATAAAAATTTTTATTATTTTGAGAATGTAGTTAGAATTAAAATAAATATAAAATTAATATTTTTTATCATTTTTATCTTATTTATTTAAAATAAGACAGAATTGCAAAATTTAATGTAATCAACAAATCTAGCAAAATATTTTTTTAGTGCAATTAGTTTAATGTATTAATAAAAAATGGAAATGATAAGAGGTACAGACTTTTTCCGATCTCACTCGACAAAGTTTTTCAAGACCTTTCAAACGAGATCTATATTTGCTTATCTACCTGATTTCGTTTGTGAGATATTTCACTTTTTCGTTATATTTTTCAAACGGCATTCTCTCACAAATTGGTATTATTTTAATGTAATTATTTATTTATATTTATTTATTGACAACATATATAAAAAAACATCGGAATATTATAGATATTGTTAAATAAGTTATGCAAAATATATTTTTGTGTTATATAAAACAGACTTATAGAAATACGTGGTGCATATTCCATCGATGTATTATTTCACGATAATTGAATATCAATTCACTCATAATTCTGTATTTGCGTCAGGTTGTTGTTTCTTCCGGTATCTTGACGTCTCGTAAACATGCGAATTAACGCTCTACGAAAATTATGTCCACTTGCGCAATAAAGAACAAAGTTTATTCCATAATTCATCATCCATAATAAATCGCTTATATGCCACGCTACATCCAGCCATATCGGTTTATTCGAAATCTGCAAAAATTAATGTTGTAAATTATTTTAGAAAATATATCAGTAGATTGTGCAATTAAACACTTTGTGATTTAGATATAAACAATATGATTCTTATATCAACCGAGTTAATAAAGTATTAATATTATATGCATTTTTTATTTACACGTACATATAATTTCATAAAAATAATAATTGAGTAATGTAATGCATAGTAAATAACGATTAAACATAAAAAATTCCAAAACAGTATTTAAATTTTAGAGAACAGTTAATTATAATAATACTATTTTATCACGTATAAAATGTATTTTAGAAAGAAGAAACTCTGTATCTTATGATCTATATTACTTAAACATTAAGTGTTGATACGTACGTGATAATCGTTAATAAACCAGCAGATATACACAGGTGTGTTTAAGCAAATGAACGTACTCGAGATGAGAATGAGCATTTTTGTGATTTTAGTTTGCGTTTCATTGCTAGCAATTTGTATCCGTTCACGGAAAGTACCGGATTCTATAAACAAATCCTTTTGGATATGATTTTGTTTGTAGATGTTCCACACTATCAGTGTGTTAAATATTAGTATCATGATTAAGGGCAGAGCAAACATGATAATCATATCCATAATTCTTAAAATCAAACTTTTTATGTTATTTTTATCTTCAGTATCGGAGATCTCGCTTTTCGTATTATTATCTTGAGTATGAATATCAATAGAAAAGAAGAACTCAAACCACGGGATCGTGAAAAAAACCGCTATTCCAGTCAGTATAATCACCACAATTTTTGCGTGGGTAATCGTACACAAAGATCGACGAAGAAGCGGCCACTTGATCGCCACATATCGCTCAACAGTAACGGCCACAACAAGCCACACACTTATAAAGGCAAAAAAGTTTTGGATGCAGATTCGGAAGACTTTATTCGCACTTGATTCGGAGATAATAATTGTTACTAGAACACCGGTGTCGCTTACTGCTAACGCACTCAGATAGATGCTGGACGAGAAATAACGTAGCTTCGAGCGGAAAAACACGCATATGGACAGAGAATTGCCCAGCAGACTCAGGCACATGAAAATCGGTATGTAATACTGTTCGATTTTCAGAATAGTCATTTTTATTAAATTCCATGTAATTATAGCAGAAGTTTTATTCCCGATATCCATTTTCACGTACGATTTTGAGTAATTTGCAATCGTATTGAGTAAGCAATAGAAAAAGTAGCAAAAAGCGAAGCACTTCACTCGAGCAATATGGCATGTAGAATAACACATTTCATTGTGTTTTTACTTTGAATAAAAAAAAAACGAGAAGTTAAGACATTACTAGTTTTGTAATGAGAACACATTCAACTTTATAACACTTAATATATTTTCAATATTTTGGGCAATAACGATTACACTTTAAGATCATATCTGAATAACGTCTCAGTTCCTTCTGTTCGGCGTTCATTTAGGATATGCTGTTCTTGATGAAATTTATTATCAATGTATACAAAGTTGTGGCTTCCGTGCGATTAAAGTGTGCTATTAAAGCGATCCATAAATTAATATTCTATCGCAGCGCACGTCAATCTATAATATAATCTATAATATAATCAATCTATAATATAATATAAAAAAATGTTTGCATGAAAATATAAAATAAAATATAATATAAAAGTAGTATATAAAATATTATATAAAAAATAAAATATATAAGAGCTATGTTCCTACAAACTATTACAATAAAAATGAGAAAACTAATATATTTTAATATTATATAAAAAATATAATGTCTCTCAATGCTTTAGAAGCACAATGTATTTTGAGAGACTGCTACATTAGTTAAATATTGATTATATTGAGAGAGAATATTGTATCAATCAATATTTTCTTACTATAAAACTATATTGATAATATGAAGAAGACGTCAATGTATTATACCTACGCCCATGATGACGTCAAAATTGTATGAAAAACGTAATACTATTTTCTGCTACCATTATTATAATAAGATTATAAATTTGCTATGTTTGTAAGCAACAAATTAATATGATGATTAAAGCTTTGACGTCAACAACGTAAATATTTTTATACATGTATATTATATTAAATTTTAATTATGTTAAAGCATATGCGGAGAGGAAAAAAGTATGGTTTTACCTGTTTTATTTCTGATCTAAAAAAATGTTGTTTACATATTTCTAAATATTTTTTATAAAATCATATATTTATTTTGCTGTACAGTTTCATAATGTTCGTCCAAACGCTCGTGTGCAGGTACACTCAAAAAAATATTTCGCTGATGTAGTTAGATTTCTAGATATCGCAACAAGAATGTATCGCTATTTTTCGTATCTGTGAAAACATTGTTTGTCACATATAGAATTTATAGCAGTAATGTTCTAGCAATAGCTTCTGAAAAAATTTAGGTACCATTGCTAAATGTTATTCATTGCATGATCTAACACGTGATTGATCTTATATAGATAGGCGCTTTAGAGAAACTTTCTTTTTAAAGTTCACAAACAATACAGATATATATTCTGTTTCTGTCATCTAAACTGATTAAGTAATTACATATGCAATATCACAACAATTGCTAATCATTTATCTGTTTTAGTTAATTTTTTACACCTAGAAAATTTTAGCTATTATTGCAAGATCATTTTTTTGAGTGTAGAGCGCGGTAAGCCGAACAAAAAAATCCTTTGCCGTTTTGCACAATTGTCACAATAATAATTGAAATATTAATTAACACGTTCCGTGCCGCCCCGTGTATCACCGATGGCTGAACTTTCCATTCAGGCTGTTTAATATTTCACATAAACAAATACATTATCATAAAACATTTCACAACTTATTTCTTTTGTTCTACACTATTTGATAATATATCAATTTTAAATGTATTATAATATACGTTTTGAGATCAAATAATAAATGCACCAGTGTGAGCCATCGGTGGTTATGCAAAAACAGGCTGGGCACGCGTTAAAAAGAATTGACGAATGATAGCGCGTTGCGCGTGGCTGTACGATCTGGATAGGTCAGCGGCGTATCGCATGGCAACGTAAAACAATAGAGCGTGGCGAGAGGAGTAACGCACATGCAGCGAGCAAGCAAAAGCGGCGCGTGAGGCTGGATTTTCGTACCACTGTTATTTTTCGTTGCCATGCGACACGCCGCTGACCCACCTAAATCATGCAGCTCACGGTCTAGCCGCACGCAACGCGCTATCATTTGTCAACCCTTAAAAGAGTCATTGCCAAATTGCCATTGTTGCTCTATGTCAACTAAGCTAAATGACTAAACATACAATATTATTTGTTATATTATTATAATTATTTTATTAAATTAATGTGTTATATGCACTGTTTTTATTCAAATTATATAAATAATATTCTAAATACATATTTTAATGAAATTAAATTTACTAGGAAATTTTCATAATTTCTTATCGTCAGTATATTAAAATGGAAAAACACTCGCAACAAAAACTAAAAAATAAGCGCAAAACAAGAGAGCCTTCATTTGAAAGTTAAGATTGTTATTTTATTGCAGTTAAACGAACAATTTACAGAGTAATCACAATTATTGGAATACGTTCTGTATTTATAATATACATACTGCAAATATAAAGAATGTGTGTATAGATTAAAGTTTAAAAGTTCATAAGAGCATAAGTTTATTTAAGTCATGTAATACAAAACGATAATTTTCTGATACTATTATGCGATTAGAGTTAAAAAAATATTAAGCAAATAGAACAAAATTATTGCATAATACTATCACTTTTATATATTTATAATTTTTTTTTTGATGGTGCAAAAATCAATACTTTTTAACGGACTATCTTATAGCATTATTATAAAATATTACTAATTAATATATAACAAATAGCCATCGTATATCGTGATTTTATTAAAATAAACTTTTTTGTGCAAAATATTAAACATTTAAAGTAAAACGTACTACATCACACACACACACACACACACACACACACACAGATACTATCTCACTTGCCTGAAAGTCGTTAAAAATTTTGGAGCATCCGAATACGGGGCTACAAAATCTCCTCGTAATTCCTCGATTTCAGTCATTCAACAACTGCTAAACAGCTAACTATTGCAAAATCCACCGAAACACTGAATGTCGAGACGATAGACTTCGATAATGATATTGATTCTTCCTGGAAGTTTGTGGCTTACCAAATTGATTAACATTTTGACTGTAACGGCTCATATCCGTTGATGTGTAAGATTCTATAGGAACCCATTGCTCTAAGGTATTTATAATAACATTAAAAGTAGCAATAAATTTAAGTAAAATTACACATAAAATTGATTAAAAACAGAATTTTTTATTTTTCTCATGTAAGATATTACAGTAAATATAATTTTTTTATTAGTATAATATTTATAATTATATGGTAATTTTAGTTATTTTATATTACGTTATGAATGACTAAAAAATAAAAAATTTTATTTTGTACTGCTTAATTAATATTACATTTTTAATTTTATTAAGATTTACAAACTTGCATGTAAAATATTGTAAAATCTTTGCAATACATGTGTTTGCAAAATTATCGTATTACTATTTTGGGGAAATTATAATACTGATATTTGTTTTATATTGGAACAAACATTACTGGCGTAATCTAACAATAAGTGGTTAATGTATGCTCTCTCGTTTTAACAACTATTTTCAACACCAGATACAAATTCAATTTATATTGTTAATTAAGTATATCGATGAAAAATGGTCACATAATAGGAAGCAATATATACATGTGACAAATAAAAATTACAAGCATGCTTAAAAGCGTTAATTATATAGGATAAAATACATGTACACACGCAGTAAGTAAAATGAAAAGACATGTGCTTATATATCAATACATTGGCTAGTATAGATTTGTGATTTTTATGAAGTTATAATGTATATTATAATCTCTTGTGTATATCAGGAGTGTTAACTTCTTTTGAGAAACTTTCAATTGTGCGTTGTTAACAAATACATTGTTTTGTTTGAAGTGCGATTGAACGTAAATTTGCAAGCTGTAACAAAATGCAAAGTATTATCAAATTGAGAAAAAATGGTCTTATTTTTCTTTTCATTTTCATTTAATTATGAAAGTCATATAACAAAGATTGTAAAAGAATTTTTAAATAATGTAATATAAATATGCACACTGTGAAAAAATTCGGTAAATATACACAACAAAGATGTAAAAATTAAATGTTAGAAATAATGGAAATATATTAAATAAATAGTAAAAAATTTAGGAAATTATATAAATTTGCAATATATATTTAAAAAATTTCTGTATTTATCATGAAATTTTTACATCTACAGTTTTGTAAATTTATCGACACTTTTTACAGTATAAAACACAACATTTAATTAAGGCATTATCTTATTATGACTGCATAATTAGGCATTAATCATACTGTTACTTATAACTGTCCATCTCCATGATATTTCTCTTCTTTCTTATATTTGTACGTTTCGTAAATATGCGGATTAGTTCTTTACGAAAAGTTCGTCCCGTTGCGCAGTAGAGAACAAAATTTATACCGTAATGTGCTGTGTCTAATAAATCGGATGTCATATACATAACTGACACATTGACATATTCGGGAAACTAAAAATTATTATTGTTATTTTTGTTATATATGTATAACTATTGATAATAACGTGACGTATTTTAATGCATTCATTTTCTTACGCGGATATTTAATATAAAAAAATTATTATATAGGTTCATTCACATAATGTAAAAATTAAACAGTATAAATTATTTTAGAAAATTCAAATTTTAGGAAAAAAATTGATTAATATTTTTTGTCATACAGAATGCATTTATAAAGTAAATAAACTATATATTATGATTGGTATTGCTTGAATATGAATTATTGATACGTACGTAATTAATGTAAAAAATGTAATGTGCAGGTAATTTCAAGATCACAAATATACTCGAAACAAGAATAAGCATTTTTGTGGTCTTATTCTGAAGTACTTTATGACTAGAAGTCTGAGTTCTCTCATTCGAAGAATTAAATGCTATCATCAAAGTTTTGCGAACCCGATTTTGCTGGTAAATGTTGTATCCTGTTAGAGTATTGCAGATTACTATCACGAGAGCAGGTAAAGTAAATATTATAATAGAATCTATAATATTCCTAGTCCGTGTAATTTCTTTCTGAACGTCAACTTTTTGATGTTTGTATAAATCGTAGATATTTATAACATCTTTTATATCGTAGATATTTATAACATCTTTTGAATATATTTTATCATTATTATTTATGTGCACAAAAATAGCAAAGATATGTACAATGCTACGTAAAATCGCTAGTCCCATCAGCGTGATCACTACGATTTTTGCTCGTTTAACAGTGCACCAGGATCGTCGTTGGAGCGGATACTTCGTCACTATACATCGCTCGATGGT